TTGGCAACATGGATGAGCTTGGAGAACATTATGTTAAGTAAGACAAGCCAGGAATAGAAATACAAATACTACATGGTCTCACTCATATGAAGGAGCTGAAATGGTTGATCTCATAGAAGCAGATAATTGAATGGTTACCAAAAACTAGGAGGGGGGTAGGGGGAGAACAGGGGGAGGTTGGTCAATAGGCACAAAATTATAGTTGGATAAGAGGAGTAACTACTGTGTTCTATAACACAGTAAGCTGACTATACTTACGAAGAATGCATTGTGTATTCAAAATAGCTAGATAAAAAGATTTGAATCTTCTCAGTACAAAGACACATTACATGTTTAAGAGGATGGCTATACCAACCTCCCTGATTTTGTTATTACTCATTGATCCATGTATTGGAAATATATCTCATAAATATGTATCATTACTATGTGCCAATTTAAAACATTAAAGGAGTAAGTAAATACAAACATATAGCACTCTACTTGAATCCATACATCTTATCAAAAGCTTAGAATGTCTTTATTATCAAGAATTTTGAAAAACTAGTGTTTGCTATGTTCACCTGTTTTGGAAGGTACAGTGATCTTTTCTATGAAATCGGTGCTAGATTATCAGGGAAAAATAAACCTTTTTTATTATCCACAATATGCCTGAATACTGTAGAAGATGCTTTACTATAATTACTTAATCCTCAAACTTTTCCTGAGAGACCAGAATATTCACTGTTGTGCTAAAATGGAATAAAGGGTAACTATCTTGCTTTTGATCATCTATTTAGAGAATAAATGATAGAATATCAATGACTATCCAAGATCTTTGAAATATATATATATATATTTTTTTTTAATTGAAAAAGCCCTATTATACTATTGTTATTTAGCGTCATTGGAAAATAAGAGTTAAGGAATTTTCTTTTAATCTCTATAAATGTAGTAAACTTTCCTTTTTTTTCTTTCTAGAAGGAAGTGATGAACCTTCCTATGAACCTTCCTATGTAGCCATTTGTTACGGCTCTTGTTCATGCATAGGCTGACCTGAAATTCCTGGAAACTTTATAAGTCTTTCCCACCCCAAAATATTTCATTAGAATTTTTTAGAATTATTCCCACGGTGCTAATATGTAACTGTTTTAAAGCTTATATTTATTTATTTATTATTATAAAGATGTGGGGTACAATTCAGGGTTAGGTATACAAATGTTGAAAAACATGAATAAAGAGTCAAAGCAACATGTACCAAAAAAAACTCCTCTTATTAAACTTATCTTTTGTGTTTCTCATAAAAAAAAATAAAGCTTATATTTGTTTATAAGAGTGGTTCTGCAACAAATATAGCTGTAATAAAGGGGTATTTTTCTAGTTTTGTTTGCTCATTACAAAACATTTCAAAGTATAATGTTAATTTTCTATATTAAAATAACTTCAAAAATTCCAAGGATAAAATATTCCAAGAAGTAAAAAAAATTGCTTTCCTTTTTCTGATGGTAACCATGCTAGACATTATAAGGTACTATTGCCATGGAATAATATGTACATCCTGGTATTGTTTAGAATGTTCTTATAGTAAAATAAGTGAATATTAAAACTACTTATGGTATACGACAACAATAAAATACGGGCCAATCATCATCTTAATTTGATGCATTTAATCACTTAAAATATTATTATGGAAATGTGTTTAACATAATATGATTTTAAAAATGAGTTTAAAATTAAATTTAAAAATCATGTAAGTTTCACTCTTATCAATACTGAGCCAAAAAATCTATCCTATAAAAAACACAAAAATATTACAGGGAAAATTAAAGCCTGTGCTTTTTATATAGTCATGGCATATTAATAGTTATACCCCAAGAGACATGGCTATGTGACCAATAGTCCCCAAATAGCATATCTATTATTAAGAAGTACATATTGAATTGCAATTATGACTTATAGGAAATAGAGACAATTCAGAACATTCTATATTCTCCCCCATGAGATAAAAACAATTGTTTAATTAATAGTAGTTCTTTCTAATTGTTCCAGGGATCATTTCCCTAAGACCAGTCATACTTTTAAATATTATTATTAAAATATATCAATCATTTAGTGCCAAACATGTTAGTCTGTCTAAGGTTTAGTTTGTCTAACGTATTTGCCTCATTGTGAAGATTTGATCCATCAAGAAATTTCAAAATCAGTTAATATTTCTTAGAAAATGTTGCATATCTTAAAAAAATTATTAAACTCCTAATTAAAGAAGAAATATGAAACTTTATTTGGTAAGATATATTCAGATATTTCTGTATGATCTATATTATTCCTCCATTTTTAAAATACCTTCTTGTTATCTGTACGTGTGTATTACAAAAAATTTTAAGAAAAATAAATAATGGAATATTATTTATGAAAAAGGAATAACTTTATGCAAATTAAAAGAAAATAAAAGATAATGTGAGCCTTGTTCTGTCTGACAAGCCATAGAATGCTAAAGAAAACGTATTAAAAAATTAATAAATATGTATTTAAGAAATGCTGTGGATTATAAACATAAAAACCATTTTCAATTTAAATACTGAGGCTATTTATTCATTTGCATGTATGATTTAGAAGTGCTGTTCTAGTTAGACAAATTTAATGATGATCTCAGCTTCATGTTGTATTCCAAATACTGATGACGTAATTGAATTACTTCATAATCATTTTTATAAGAAAACATATACTTGTGAGAGAACTAGCTAGAATAAGAGATAAAGTCTATTGTCTAAGAAAAAGGCCAAAGCTGGTCTGCTTAATGGAACCTGAGAAAACCCTTTGACCTCATGTAGACATAGACGACTATATGAGTGTACTCAATTAAAAGAAATTAAATTATCGAAATGCCATGCAATAATTAAAATAGCACATTCTTTGGAGCCATAAAGTAGTCATGGCAACTCAATAACTGTTTGCAATTTTTTTTTTAAGAAATCAGTATAAATTTGTGGTAGTGATTGCAACATCATCGCTGATAAATCTCCTTGTTTGAGGATATATGGAATGCACTCTAGGCTTTTTAGGACAAAGGAGGACTGAGAAGGATATTTGGAGGTACCTTCTGTGACACTAGAAACCTACAGTTCTCCAATGTTTTATTAAATGTAAGTGTGTACAGATAAGGTAGAAATGTACAATAATAATTATTAAAACATCAATAAACTAACCAGCTTTTTGGATAGCTTTACTCATATTTCACATGAGTAGTCATCTATAGATGTTATTACTCAAGGACTAGTCATTTGTTCCAGTATTGCTTTCTGCCACTGTCAGTACCAGAATGTTGAGAGGTAGTTGATTGAAGCATTTTAGGATCCACTAAATACTGTAAGTCTACTATAATCTTGATTCCTTCATCAACTCCCATTAAAAAAAATAAAAACAAACGATAGGGTATTTTAAGAGCCACAAAACAAGTTTATAATTCATCCAACATGCTGGTGAGCATGATCATGCACATGAAGTTTTTATAAACTTTGTTAAATGAAACAGGAACAACGATGCTGTTGTTGCTACTCCTGATGATGATGGTGAAGCAGGTTTTGCAATAGTAAAGAGAGGGTAAGGGTCACAGTCACTGTCACATTGGTTACCTATTATTCTGGGACCTATAGGAGCATGGACAGCCTGAGATCACCAGAATTCCTTACCTTATGCTGTATAGGACATCGATTTTATAACTTACAATATACAAAATAGATAAGTGAGCTGTTACCAAAATATATGTCTTTAAAGTAGAATTAAAATGTAGATCTTTAAATGAGCCATGTTTTTCAGAATGGTTCTAAAGGCTGTGGGGTTTCAGCTCCTTATTTCCATAGGGAAATCTATTATAATATTTTGACTGTAAAATACAGGATGCAATTTTTCTGAATTAAATTAGACAGATATATCATAAAATTGTTTTTATAGTATTTACCTAATCCCAATGTAAAAAAAAATCATTCAGCTTAGATCCTATGTAGCATTATGAATAGTTACTTTTCTAACACATGTTTCTGCAGTTGTTTGATGTGTTATAATTAAGAATGACTTGTACAGAAAAAATTTGGTGCAATTCTACCCTTTATCAAAATGTTGTATTCTAAGGAAAATATAGTGTTTGAGCTCATAATAATTGAGTTAGTACTTTTATGACTGGATCAGCTGACATAAATAGTAACCGTATGTGTTATCAGACATACAATAGTGTCAAGCTCCTACTTCTGACCATGCAGTTTTAGAGAAGATGGACAGTCATTAGCAGAATTATTTTGATGGATGGGAATTGAGATGGATTTTGGAAGGATGACTTCTCCATTGTAAGTTAAATTTGCTTAGAAGATTTTTCTTTAAAGTATACCTTAAACAGGTCCCAGTGAAGTTGAATTATGATTCAAGAGACAACAAAAATCCCTTAAATTATTAGGCTTATGGAGACTACAGAGAAGCACCAATATCACAAGCATGCATTATGTGTTTTTATTTATTTATTTTTATTGTTTCTCTTTAGTGTTTGTATGTTAATATATGTATGTATATAATGGATGGAATGGTATAAAATGTACTCCATTCAAAAGAAATGTGATGTATATAATAAAATATTAGAAAGTTAGAAAGTCAATCCAACTCACTATTTATGTTTCTTGCACACTGAAATGATTTCAAAATTAGTAGATGATTCTATTTTAATTATTATCTATCTAAACTCTTACTACTTCATCCTGAAAAATAGCATGCCTACCATAAAACTGTGAGCTACAAACTATCACTATTCATGAGACAAGAACTGCAGCTAGGTGATAAGCAATTAGTGAAATTCGTGCAAAATATTTCTTTTTTCTTAGTTTTATCTTGATGTAAACATTCTGCCTCAGAGAAACAGAAAAGTAAGACAATTGAGAACAAGAGATGTTTTGCAAATTTTATTGTTATTTTTGAATTGTCTGTTTATTGACTACTCTGATGCACATATTTTGATTTTTAGAGAGAAACCAGTCTAAGATATGATTTGTGAAAATCACACCAGAGTCACAGAATTTATCCTTCTTGGTTTCACAAACAACCCTGAAATGCAAGTTTCCCTCTTTATTTTGTTCCCGACCATCTATACAGTGACTTTGTTGGGCAACTTTCTTATTGTCACAGTTACCAACGTGGATCCCGCTCTTCAAACACCCATGTATTTTTTTCTCAGAAATCTATCACTTCTTGAAGTCTGTTTCATGTTGGTCATGGTGCCAAAGATGTTGGTAGACCTAGTGTCCCCAAGGAAAATCGTCTCTTTTGTAGGCTGTGGTACTCAGATGTACTTCTTTTTCTTCTTTGGCAGCTCTGAATGTTTCCTTATCTCTATCATGGCTTATGATTGCTTTGTAGTCATCTGTAACCCTCTCTGTTATTCAGTTGTAATGAACAGGTCCCTATGCTTGTGGATGACCGTAGGCTCTTGGATGTCTGGTGTTCCTGTGTCTATGCTACAGACAGCTTGGATGATGGTCCTTCCTTTCTGTGGACCAAACATCATAGGCCATTTTTTCTGTGATGGTCCTCCAGTATTGAAACTAGTCACTGAGGATACAACCATGTATGAAATGCAAGCACTTGCCTCCACACTCCTATTTATCATGTTTCCTTTTCCCCTCATTTTGGTCTCCTATACACGCATCATCACAACCATTCTGAGGATGTCCTCTGCTACGGGTCACCAGAAGGCATTCTCTACCTACTCGTCACATCTCATTGTGGTATCCCTCTTCTATGGAACAGCCAGCTTGACCTACCTACATCCCAAATCAAACCTGAAGGGTGCAGAGAACAGTCAGAAGGGTGTCCCCAAGATGGTGCTGCCACCCTAGACAACAAAGACTCTAGGTTCCGGCTTCTTCACGCATGGTTCCCCTAGCACGCGTCCAATCATTTTCAATAATGTAGCTAGCTTTGCTATACGTCCAATGGGCCCACAACACGGCGTCTGCCCACCCTGCTCCCAGGCCGCTCCTCCAATAAAACCTAGCACTGCCCCTTCTGGCCGCTGTCAGGCTAATAAATGCAGCCCTCTCCCTACATAGCTCTCTCTATCATGCTCTCTCTCTCGCCCTCTCTCCCCCTGTCTCTTTCTCTTGCTCTCTCCTCCTCTCTCTCTCTTGCTTTCTCTTTCCCTCAACTCTCCCTCTCTCTTGCTCTCTCTCTCCCTCTCCCTCTCTCTCTCTCTCACTTTTCCTCAGTTACAGTCCCTTCCTGTAACTGCCCCTTTAATAAATCTCTTGGTTCCGGCCGGGTGTGGAGTCATTACTGGTGCCAAAGTCCTTTCATTGGTGCCATGACTCGGATCAGGTGCTCCCTCGCCTCTGTGCAGGTGTATTCCCATAGGCAGGAGCCCCGACCCAGCGCCTGTGGCCACTCCAGCCCTCCTGGACCTTCCCCACTGTTTTGAATGCGTGAGCTGCATCCACCAGCAATCGTTGGATAGGTGAGTTTCCCAGACACGGAAGCTTAAAACTTGCCTGGGACCACCGAGGAAAACTGACCATTAATCGTCTGGCAGTCCCTCCAGCCCCCAGGTGAGGGGGAACACACCCCGCCTTGGCCTTCACAGCCACAGCGGACCCTAAAGGCTTCCTCTTCTCCTTTATCTCTCTCAAACCCTGAAAACTCCCATGACTGCCAGGCTTCAGCTAAAGGCTTTCTCTTCTTCTTTATCTCTCTCAAACCTTAAAAATTCCCACGGCCATTGGGCTGCAGCGGGCCCCAGGGGTCCCACGTCTGCTAACCCACAGCGGTTTCTCTCCCCCCCTTAAGGGTTCCCACGGTTGTCGGGCTGCAGTTGGCCCCAGGGGTCCCACGTCTGCTAACCCACAGTGGTTTCTCTCCTCCCCCCTCTTAAGGGTTCCCATGGCTGTCGGGCTGCAGCGGGCCCCAGGGGTCCCACGTTTGCTAACCCACAGTGGTTTCTCTCCCCCCCTCTTAAGGACTCCCACGGCTGTCAGACTGCAGTGGACCCCAGGGGTCTCACGTCTGCTAGCCCACAGTGGATTCTGGAGGGCTCCCACATCTGTCGGGTGAAATGGGTGATAATGGACCTCGGAGTGATAATGGGTGATAATGGACCTCGGAGATTCCAACATCTATTGCCCCACAGAAAACCCTGTTCGACCGGCAGTCAAGTGCTCTACCACCGCTCAGTCAAGTGCTCTCTGTCTGTTCCGAAAATTCCTAGCGCTAGGTGCCTTGACCCCTCGGTTCTCCAGAAGAACCCTGGTAGTGCCAAACCCCTGTGATGACAGGCTTTGCCACAGCCACACTTCTTGGGCAGTCGACTCTTCATGGGATGCCCCGTTTAGTCCACCTGTTCCACCATGGGAGGCTTGTCATCCCTGCCGGCCGATTCCCCCCTTAAATGCATCTTAAACAATCTCACTACACTTTCTCTCTCCCCCGATATCAAACCCAAATGACTAATTCACCTCTGCAGACAGGACTGGCCTACATATCCCTTAGACAACCAAAATCAGTGGCCCCCTCAGGGGTCCCTAAATCCCGATATTATACGGGACTTATACAATTTCTGTGAGCATTCAAAACGGTGGGTAGAGATTCCCTATGTTCAGTCCTTTTCTCTCCTCCGTGAACATCCCTGCCTTTGCTTCCACTGTAATACCTCCAGCCTCTACCCCCAACTCATGCTGGCATTCGTTGCCTCCTCCACAGCTTTCCTCCCTCCCACTGTTCTACAGGCGTCCATACCTCCTCCTCCAACTCCCCCTTCCCCCACTGCAGGCACTGCAAGTCCCACTCCTACTCCTGCTCCCTCCTCCCCCGTCTCAGATTTTTGACCCGGCAGATGACCCCCCCTTACAGACAGCCTCAAGCTTCCCCGCCCCCACCCTCCTCTTCGGCTCCACCCACCTGTACTCCAGCAGCTTGATCCTTATACCCTCCCCTTTCAACAACTCCTCCATGCAGCCCCTGGTAACCCAATCCAAGGCCGCGCTGACCCTCCTAGCCCCCCTTTGTGAGGTGGCGGGTGCAGAGGGTGTGGTTTGGGTACATGTCCCCTTCTCTATTTCAGACCTCTCACAAATAGATAAACGTCTCGGATCATACACAACTAACCCTGCCACCTACATTAAAGAGATTCAATACCTCATCCAGTCCTACAGCCTTACTTTCCATGTTATATACCTAATCCTTTCCAACACCCTGCTTCCGAAGGAATGTAAGAGAGTCTGAAAACAGGCTAGGACATACACAGACAAAATTCACCTCCCAGAGCCCGCTAGTAATCTTCCAGCCTGAAGAAAAGGGCTGAAAGACAGTAAAAGGAAACACTGTCTGAAGATAAACTCGTAGACTCCTAGGATTAGGACGGAGAGTTGACGAATGTGCTGTGTGCTAGTGTGTAAATGAGATGAATGGCGGGAGGGCTCCACATAGTTAGTCTGCTTTGGGGGTATACCAACCTACCAACTGCTAAGAGGTGTCTGAGATATCTTCGTGAGGAATATGACTGAAGGGGGATGTTTCCCATACCCCTCATTCTGTTATTTGTGTGTGTCTGTCACTTTAAATCTGCTAAAAACTGGTTGAGTTATTATGCTTTGTTTGATGGGACATGTAGTCTTTTTAAAACTTGATTGGTGCATATTTCTTGATGTCATTTTATGTCTCCTTTTATTTGTGTGGTGTTTTCTCCCAACCCATTCATGCTGTTAAAATTTCTGCCTTTTGTTGTTAAGGTTGTAAAAAATTGCCTGCTACATATAAAAAGTGTTACCGGTTATCTTAAATTCTTTCCAGAAACCACGTCCCCTCCTTTCCTTAGCCTGTGTTCTCCTTCATAAATTCTAAAGGGGCTCATTTCTAATCCACCTGTAAAAAAATGGAAAAATGTCTCTTATATGCTACTTAGCCTTTTGCTAACTCAGTGTAAGTTAATGCTAGCCTCAGGGGGGAAAAATTTTTATAATCTTTCTCTGTCAACTAAGGAAATCAATAGGCTGTTCTTGTTTTCAAATGCTAAAAGCCAGGTTAGTTAAAAGTAAGTCCGTTTCTAAAAGTTTAGGCCTTGCCTAAGATCATAATCAACTGCTTGTCCCTGTAAAACTGTTGAAAAGTCTCTTAGAATCTTGTGATGTATGCTGAGTCCCTACTTTATATTGTAATGCTAAATAACACTAATGCTTGTGTTTTGGGGTTATACTCATTTAATTGTCCATGTCTTACGACTAAGGCTGCTGTTTAGTAATTCATGAGGATTTTTGACAATTTTGCCTGTTCATAGTTAAAAATATGTAAAAACAGATCATTTCACATCTTCGTGGTCTGTTCGCTCTAAAGGGTTTTCAACCAGACATTATTGTAGACATCACTGGAAAGTCATAAAACAAAAGAAAAAAAAAAGAGAGAGAGAGAAGAACTCCAAAATGAGCACCAGCCAGAGGAAAGGTAAATAAGTTGGCAGTTGCCACTAAAGGCAAAAACTCCAGCCACCGAAAAGAGGCCCGATAAGAATAAACCTGCTAAGGGGATGGTATCAGCTGCTATGAATGTGGTCAATCTGGACACCTAAAGCACAATTGTTCTTAATAGCCTAAGCCCCCAGAACGTTGTCCAATATCTGGAATAAAAAGCCACTGAAAGAGATGGTGTGGCCTCTCCCGAAGGGGGGGGAAACACGTATCTCAGTGATAGTGGCTGTTGACTGAAAGGGGAGGGGCATGGCCCAGCACAGCACTCTGTATGCCATCCACCCAGAAAATCCTTGGGTCTGTATAAATGTGGCTGGGGTCCAAATCAATTTCTTAATTAATAGTGAGGCTAAGTTTTTAGCCCTTGTGCTCATACTGAACTTCTTCCTCCTAAAACCTGCTCTCCAGTGGAATTAAAGGTGTTCCAAAAACTAAATGTTTCACCTAACAGTTACTAAAAGGTAAATTCAAGTTATGACTATAAAAGGTTATCTATAAATAAAGAAAAAGGAAAGCAGAAAGCAAAACAAAAATGTAAAGAAAGTTGTTGGTGTAAGGTATGTTTTTAGTAAGAAAGGCTAAAGAAAAGATAAATAATTGTATAAAAAAGAATCTTATATGATACATTTTTGTTCTATAATAGAATGGCTGGTTAAAAAAAGTATAATACAAAAATAAATGGTTTAAGCATGTCAAAAAGTGGTATGAGTTTATCAAACATGGTAGGTGAAATTTTGTAAAAAGAAGTAAAAGGAATTCTATAAACACTCAGACTTCAAAAAGGTTCCATAAATTTACCATTAATATCAATTACACTAATGCTAGGACTACATGCTCCTCAAAGACCAGAACATGAGCTTCTTAATTAACAATCTCCAAAAAAAAATTTTTTTCTCCTTTAAACAGCAGAGGGAAAAAAAGGAGACAAAATTCAATTAGCCCTCCCCCCACTGTCTTTGTTACAAAAGAGTGAGGTTTTTTTTTTCTTTTCAAAATCGTTGAACGATCATTTTGGCTAAATAAATAACTTTTACAATAACTACTGTGATTTTGTATTATAACATGCTTTTAAAAACTATGCTACTAAAACTCTTCAAGTTCTTAATTCAGTCTCTAGGGTGAGATAAGCAGCAAGCTCCAGGAACCACACCTACCCCACCCCCTTCTAAATTGCCTAAAGGCCAGGAAAATTAATTTCACTAACAACACTGCCAAATTGCTAACAAACTTTAAAATCTCCTTCCAGGCACAAGGATTACTATCCAACATAAGATGAGTGACAAAATAACCTGGGCTTCACTCTCTAACATATCAATTGTTATAAAAGTATATCAGACCTATTATAAAAACAAAAAAAACCCCTGCTTTCTCTTGCCAAAATAAATAGATAGAGACATCGCTACAGCCCCATCTCAGCAGAAAGCAGATACAAAAAAATAATCTTTGCCCCATTTCCCCAAATTTTAAAAATATTTCCAAGAGCAGGAGGGAAAAATGAAAGGTACCTATAAAAACCTAGAAAAAGCTTAGCTTATTCTTAGTCTTTTGGCCTCAGTGTAATGAGTAACAAGTATTCAGACATTCTACTGAAGGACAAACAGCAGCCTATCCCATCCCCCCTAGGCAAATCTTCAGATACAAGATCAGGCACTCATTCCTTTTTGATACTGCCTCAATGTCCCGTACCTCTTATGGGCAGGGACATTCTAGTCAAATTCCAGGCATCCATCACCTTTAACCCAAGTACAGCACCTAACAACCCATCTCCCACAACCCCATTTTTGGCCCTCCTAAATACTAACAATTTCCCAACTGACTCACTTCCTCCTTTGCCCCTTCTATAATAAATCCTCAGGTATGGGACATAAACTCCCCCTCCTTCTTGTCCTGACTCACCACTCATCCAAATCCAAATCCAAACAAACATCCTGGATTCAGCACAGAAAACTTGTAACCCATTGCCCCTTTCCTTTCTTGGCTTAATTGCCATCTTCCTTACTATATTACTTACTTGGTCAACACTACAAATTGGCCATCCACAGCCAAAGTTTTGTTGGCTATTACATACCTCCTCATCATAACTAGCTTCATTCCTATTAAGTGTCTTTTATAAAAAGTCACCCCTTACAGCACTATGTTCATCAGCCTAACCCTCCTTCCCTTATTAATTTTAACCCACCTCAACAGTAAAACAACACCACCCATCCCACCATTTCACTGGAGATTCTTTGTAGAAGAGTCCTGGACTTCTAAGGACCACTCATATACCCAATGTCTGGCCATAGCAGACTGCCAGCCATATGACTGCCAATCTTGAGTTTCTATCCCCATCTCTCTCTCTTCCATGCCTAGTAAAAAAAAAAAAACACCTAAACGTCCTCAATCATCTAAGTGATAAGTTAAAATGGAACTGCCAACAGCCAGACTCTTCTCCTTTCACCTGGTTACCACACCCTCTTGTCACCTGGCTGGCCCCACTCCTAGGCCCTGTCATTCTAATTTGTGTTTTTTGTTTAATAGCCCCATATATCTTTACATTTCTCCAACAACACTTAATTAAACTCTCAAATCAAAACCTCAACCTCCTATTACTCAATAGTTATCAACCTGTCCCAATAGAGGAGTCAACACCTTGTCCCTAAACATCACTTAACTTTTCTTTTAGATATGTTCTCTTCCAGGTTCTCTATTTATCTCCACAGTCTACTCAAAGACAGCTGGTTACTACTGCCCTCGTGCCCACTGGAGGATTGGCCAGAACAAGTCACCATTCTACATTTACAACAAACTTTCATGGAACTCTCGCCTTCAGAAATCTTCACCTTCAGTGCCTACCTCTGGACCCTATTCTGGCTGGTTCTGTGCCCTTCCCCCACCTCACCCCACAATGCCCACATCCAGCAGTAAGCAGCCAGAAAGAATATCGATGCCCCTCTCCCAAATAAACAAAAAAGGTGGGAATGAAGGGTGCAGAGAACAGTCAGAAGGGTGTCCCCAAGATGGCGCTGCCACCCTAGACAACAAAGGCCCTAGGTTCCGGCTTCTTCACGCATGGTTCCCTTAGCGCGTGTCCAATCATTTTCCATAATGTAGCTAGCTTTGTTATACGTCCAATGGGCCTGCAACATGGCATCTGCCCACCCTGCTCCCAGGCCGCTCCTCCAATAAAACCTAGCGCTGCCCCTTCCGGCCACTGTCAGGCTAATAAATGCAACCCTCTCCCTACATATCTCTCTCTCTCACGCTCTCTCTCTCTCACCCTCTCTCCCCCTCTCTCTTTCTCTTGCTCTCTCCTCCTCTCACTCTCTAGCTTTCTCTTTCCTCTGACTCTCTCTCTCTCTCTCTTGCTCTCTCTCTCCCTCTCCCTCTGTCTCTCTCTCACTTTTCCTCAGTTACAGTCCCTTCCTGTAACTGCCCCTTTAATAAATCTCTTGGTTCCGGCCAGGTGTGGAGTCATTACTGGCGCTGAATTCCTTTCAAAACCAGTCCCCTGAAAGCAAGAAGCTGGTATCATTGTCCTACACCATCATCACACCTATGTTAAACCCCATTATCTACAGCCTAAGAAACAATGAAATGAAAGGAGAACAATCTCCCGAAAAGTCTTGCCGAAGTTAGATATGTTTTAAGTTTTATTGTGTGGAGTGTTTCTAAACAAACTGGGGACAGCAGAACCCACTAACAAATGTTTTTAGAAAGGAATAAAAGAGTTGATCTTGTTTCATCTGTGTCACTGTGGTGGGTGCATCTTAGTGTATAATCCAGGGCCCCAGCAAGAAAGAGATGGGACTCTTGAACTGGAATAAATAAGAAAAACCCTATGAGAAGGTTACTTAAAAGTTGTGGGCAATTTTAAGTAATTGTCACACAGGTCTTACAATGGAAATTCCATACTTCTTGGCCTGAAGGGGAATGTAGCAGGAGTGTAAGTTGGAACCTGAAGAATGCTACAACTATTTTAAAAAGTCACCTAACAAGATCTCTGTTCTTTAGTAGAGCAAGGCAGCCATCTCTGCCTTCTTCTGTTCTCCCTCTGTCAAATCTATTGTTGGCTTCTGTTCTCAGTCAAAGCAGATATGACACAGGGGACAAGATTGTCCATGGATGCACTTTATAAATGCCAGCCTTCTGGGGGCACAGAGCAAAATAGAAAAGGGTAAGAAAAGTTATGAAGGGTAAATGAAAATGTCCACCACAAATTATTATTTATTCTGCAGATAATGTGATGCAAAGATGAATCAGGCAATGCGTTGGAAGTGACTTTAAAAATAAATGTACAAAGAGTGGAGTTTTGCAGATGCCAAGAATTCATGATGCAAGTTCTTTATGTGGGTTGCATGTTTAGATAAAGATATTTAATAAAACTACCTTGATATTTATGTTTGGTGATATGATTTTTGTAAACAACAAACATCTGCATAACAACTGGGAAAGCAAAAGAGTAATAATAATAGCAAGCATGCTCAATTGAGGCATTGCCTTTAATGTGTTTTTATAACAATTCAAAAGATAGATCTTATTCTATCTTTATTTTTCATTAAAAAATTAAGATAAAAAAGTCAGTAACTTTGTAAGGCAAAGGTTATTGAGATGTGGCCACAATAATTTAAATCAGACTCTTCTAAATTTGAAATCTAATATACTAGTCTCTTAAAAATCTCTAGTCACATTTTTGTTAAGGCAAAGTCACCACTTACATGGGACTTGAGCTTTTGAAACAATGTAGGACACAAAAGGAGATTGATTTCAATTTAATTTAGAAAAATATCTTATATTTCCAGTAGCATAAGTATATATTGGCTTTAAGCATGCAATTTACATTCCTCTAAGTCTTCTTTAGGTATATGTTTTTCTTAATTTACAGCTGCTTCTTTAAGCAGTGACCAACCTCTAATATTCTTTGTCACTTCTTAGGAAAATTTAAAAGCCACTACAAATTTGCAAACAGTGATGACTGTTATAGTTTAATTTTGATTTGCTGAAGTATATACCTATTAGTTGTAAAATCAGTTTTGTAGTGTATGTGTTTAGCAAACTAGCATAGTAAAACATAGATTATGTAATACTATATGAAAAGAGCTAAGAGTAAATATTTTCTGAGAGTTTGATATTCTCAGATGAACATAGAAAATATACAGTGGATACTACCTATTAAGAGGTATCTTTCAGCTATTCATATATTATATACTAATTGAAATTTAAAATTAATTTATTTCTATAAGATGCAAGCAAAAAATGTTCATAATGCATGTACCTATTGCATATTTTGTGTGATTTACACTCGAGGACTTAAACAGGGAACTGATAATATAATTTACTATGATTCAAATAGTTTTATTAAAATTGATGTAAGTCACAGAGCCAGAAAGTTTTCATGAAACTCACTTTTTGTTTTGTTTTTCCTTCATCTCAATTTACAAGAATTTTTTCTTGAAAGTTCCAAGAGCTAATTAATAATCACATTATTATATCCAGAGAGATTATTGAAAAGATTTATTCGATGAGTTATTCTCCCAAATAAGTATTGTCTCACATGTTTATTACTAACAGTAACTCTAGAGTTTTCTTTGGAACAAATATTTTCATCATTGTTTTTATGGTGATATAACCGATTTTTTTTGGTTGCAGTGAAAAAACATTTTGCAAGATGTCTTTCCTAAATTTAAAATTGCATAGACTTCTTCCAAATGTATGCACACATTTTATTATTTATATTATTATTCACTAGCAATTTTGTAAATATCCTTTTTAAATGTCCTTAAAGTAGAGGGTTAAAGGATACTTTTAAAGGCTAAACCTGGCAGAGCTAAGAGAAGAATTGATTAAAAAAATCAGTTAGTGGCTGGGCTCGGTGGCTCAGTCTGTAATCCCAGCACTTTGGGAGGCTGAGGTGAGTGGATTGCCTGAGCTTGTGGGTTCGAGACCAGTCCAGGCAATTTGGTGAGACCTTGTTCTACAATAAGTAAAAAATTAACCGGATGTGGTAGCATGTGCCTGTAGATCGGGCTCCTTGGAAGACTGAGGTGGAAGGATCGCCGGAGCCCAGAAGGTTGACACTGGGGTGACTGTGAGAGTGCTACTGCATTCCAACCTGGGTGACAGAGTGAGACTCCGACTCAAAAAAAAAAAAAATCAGTTAGTTATCCAGTACTATCAATGCCACATATATAGGCACTGAGGTGAGAGGAAAAAACCATCAACTTTGTTCATATTTTAGGGTAGCTTAAACATTCTATCTTAGGTTAATTTCAGTTGCACTAAAATTGAATTAGATAATATAATTTGGTAAATAATATCAGTTTATATTTCTATTTCAACCTGTAAGAACTAAAGCTGCCCTAAAGGAGTTTTAAGTTTTGTTAGGAGATAAAAATTAAGTATAGTTAGGAAAAATAAAATTATGATATAAAGTGATGAAGCAAATTTCTCAGTTGCCAAAAACCCATACTACAATGATATAAGGAATACAGACTTATAAACTCATATTATAAATTAATATTGACAGTGTTTTATATTTTCAGATAGTGGAAAGCATAAAAGTTAGGGAAAATCAGTTGTAATAAGCTGCCACTATGGAGTGAAACCCACAGACTTGGTAGTCAATTATTCATTAGTTATCATTTATAATCATGCACTCAGTATCAATAAGAGGTTATTTGTCAGCCATGAGTAATCATTTCTACGCAGGTTTCTTGTGAAGTCATGTGTGTTCTCGTGGTGCTATGAGAGCCCAATACAGTCAGAATGAAAAGGGCGGTGACCATATGGAGGATGCTTAGCCTCTGAACTTCTTATTTTATGAACTTTAGTGAAAGGAGGAGACAGCTCCCAGGGAGAAGATGTGAAGGCCAGTTATATATTTTACCAGATTCCCTTGCAATTAATTGGTGGGCATGTAACCAAAACTCAAATAATCAGATGTTAAATTGTGTCATAATGCAAAAAAGTGAGACAGTAGGGATCCTCATGTAGCCAGTGTTTCACAGTGTCTAGAAGCAACAGAGGTGGCAGCAGTAGTGGTGGTTTCCATTGTCCAGTGAAATTAAGGAAAGCATAAGCCGTGGCACTCAGGTTCCAGATTCGACTTCAGCAGTGTTTTTACACAACTGATTCTGAAGTATGTTTTTGGATTTTTGACTGTGGTTCTGGCTGCCACTAACTGTCCCATTTTTCTTTCCACTTTCTGTGCTGTACCCTCCTCAATATCTTTTCAAACAATTTTTTTTCCTGTGTAAGTCAGCAAGAGTCAGTTTCTGTCTTTTTGGCAATCAAGTGAAAGGAAGAGTTCTATTAAAATCTATGTTATAGTGGTTATCCAGTAAGTCTGGTGTCTCTACAATAAATGACCAGCTACAAATAAGGTCACTGAAATGATGAAATGAGTCATTATCTTGGAAGGGGTAACTGTCCTTGATCATTCAAAGGCATTATACTTCCTGTTAATAGAAATGGGGAAGAAAATATTAGCTACTTAAATATCTATGTTTCTTGAAACTCATTTGCCCAGTTTTGATAGTAAATGACAGGTGTAGTAGTTGTGGTTCAAGAAGTGCTTGGCATTCAGAGGCTAGTTATCTCATCATATAGGTAACCTAGGCCAGAAAAAAAATAAGGAAAATTTAGAATGGTAGTAGATATCTTCATTTAGGTTGTTATAGCAAAATACCATAGACTATGTGACTTAAATAAAAAACACTAATTTCTCACAGTTTTAGAGGCAGGGTAATCCAACCAAGATTAGGTGTCTGGTATCTGGTAAGGGCTCATCTCCTGGCTTGGTGTCTTTTTCTTAGGTTCTTGCATGGCCTTTTCTTGGTGGATGCACTTGGAGACAGAAAGTTTTTTCTTCTTTTTAGAAGAGTATTAAACCCATCATGAGGTCACTCCCCTCATGATCTAACTTAACCCTAATTACTTCTCAAAGAACACCACCCTCGAATATCATCACATTGGAGATTAGGGCTTCAACATATGAATTTTGGGAGGACAAAAGCATTCAGTTCACAACAGTAAAGGGTACAAATGATGATTGTCAACTTCAACTTCTAGATCAACTACCATAGCAGGGGCTATTGTCTTCCCTTTTTTAAACTTCCCCAAGAAAATAGAAGCTGCTTCCATGACTTATATGAATCAAGTAGATCTGCGTGATGTAATAGTTTGACTATTGTGGATTCACTGTTGTGTCACTGAGAACACTAGCCTCTAGCTTAGGACTAAAGTTTCTATTACTTCATTAAGTCTCATATTTTTGGGGGTGCATCCTGCACCCAATGATTTGTTGATGAAGGTATATAAATGCCCAGACATTTCCCTCTATTTGGAAAAATTGTCAAGGGTCATTCTACTTCTGGAGTTCCCTGAAGGATCGAAGTTAGGACTTTGTTGCAAATGTATCTAGGTGCGTTCTCTTTGCCAACCTGCTTCTTTGGTCACCCACAACAATTGATCCTAAAATCATTCCCCAATAAACCTTTATACAAATCTACACTTTAGAGTTTGTGTTCCAAGGAACTTTGCCTCGACAGTTGATATGTACATAGACGCAATTCCTGCTAGATTCTCAATTAATTCAATTAAGTATATAATGCATATTTCAAAAGATATATATTCAGGAA